TATTTTTCAATCAAAAGTTTTAATTACTTCATGAGTACAGAAGAAACAATGACTAAACTTTGAATTAATTTCCTTCTACATTGATTCTGCAGATCAATTAATAATTGGAGTGGCCCATTGCGATTCCAATTATTATTCGTCAATGATTGAATAATTTGAAAGTTATAATTATCGATTTGGATGATTAATTTTGATTTGTCTCGAAATAACTCATTGCGATGGTCATGTTCCAGTGATAAACAACATTCGGGACAGTAACCCAGTAAATCCATGGCGTATGCCCCTCCATGGCTACCGGTATATATTCCTGACGGTCAATTGAATTTTTTATTTCCCCTTCGTAAATCGTCGAGTGATAAGTTTCAAAAATCACGGTAATGAATTACAACCGATTCATGCAATCCAGTGCTGTGAATTATTGATACTATCAGTGGATTATTAGTGATAAAAACAGAGAAAAAAACATACGTAAGTCTTTCTCCAAATTAATTTTACAAAATCTAAATTATATATAAAAGAAAACAAATGATTAAATTGAATAATTAACGTAATTTTTTTAATAGCGAATTGAAGTCATCCTTAAAAGACTATATTTTGAGAAATATATTTAAATATAAAAATAGCAATATGAATTTATTAAAATAAATGAAAAGTATAACTGAATAACTAACAGGTAAAATAAGTGAATATTTCAATTTGCATTATTCCTTTTTATTTGAATTACACTCAGAAGATACATCCGCCTCTTTCTAATTCCAAAGGTGAACTAACTAATTTTACAAAAGCCCCAGGATCTCAGGTGACCTGTCCTCATAAATCTTATTCATCCACCATTATTTCATCGTAAAAATCCACGCATAAATAGAACAAATGATACGATTAATTTTGGCTTATTGCTATTTGTTGAAAAAACGAATATGTATGATAATAAATAATTTAAAGATGATACACAAGTATATATTCCCTTTTTACCAAACAATAAGTTGATTTCCATACATTTTCGAAGGAAAATGACTTAATTGAATTAATTTGAAATGGGGAAAAAATCAATTTTTTCCTTCATGACCCCCATTACCCTTTCAAGAAAACCGCACCATAAGGGCAGACCCCGTTACTCATTATTATGCGTCTCACTCCCTCATTTTGTATTCATCCAGTAAACTCCTGTTGATTACTTCTGAGTCACCTCGCGTCTCCGCTCGTCGAATAATTCCCCGCGAAATGAGTACACGAGCAATTACTAACAACGCGAATTAATTCAGGAGTACCCGAGAGCGGCCAAATAATGCCGGACCGATCTAGATCACTGATAGCCCCAGTGCTGATTCTATTGATGGGGATGGGTGTCGGTTCAATGGAGACGACACTCCCGCCGATGGGTTCTACGGGTTCAACGAGTTGGATAGGTTCGACGACCCCAGGAGTGGAGGGGAGATCGGAGGAGATTTTCGAAATTTCTGACATTTCGACGCAAATCCCAAAGGTTTACCCGGTGTATCCGGAGTACAGGACGAACACGGAAAAACCGGTAAAGGGATCGGCGAAGGACAGTTATTTGGATGCCTTAGAGTACTCGCACACCAAGAAACAGAGGGACGGGGTGATCCGCATGGAGAAGCCCAAGGGAGTGAAATTGATAAGGAGGAATTACGAGGGACCGATCTATCGACCTGCTACGGAATATGGGGTACCTGGTGGGCTCTTCTCACCCGGGAAAAATCCCAGAATCGCCTATGGACCGACACCCGAACCCTTTATCCCTACCCCCAGCTCTTCGTACTCACTTCCGGTGCAGAATTTCGTGAAATTTGGAGAGCAGAATCCTTATGGCAGCGGAGTTCAATCCCAGAGCCATTATGGACCTCCTGCTGGGAGTTATGGACCTCCGGGTGTAACATCTGGAGCTCCTGCTAGCTATGGAACCCCTCAACTCAGCCAGCAAGGTGAGGCGCGAGGTAGCGTATTTTCATGTTTTGTAGATTTGCTTTATCAACTGTATCTCGGGGTTTGGATCAGATATGGGAATTTTGAGTAAGACATTTTTGCAGGCCGGAAACAGAACTTCAGAGAATCTTCCATGGAAATTTTTCTGTCTCTTTTGGGTTCAACGGGAATATAAAATAAATAAAAAATAGAGATTAGATATGAGTTAACCCAAAAGTCGATTTTCGTTAGGAGCTCTAAATTTAGGCGACAATGAAATTTGTTCTAAGAACATTTTTATAGAGCATAATGAGAGCTAAAAAAGGTCATGCCCGGTGGCCTGGCGTAGGTTAAGATCGTTGCCTCACAAGCAATAGATTCCAGGTTCAATTCCTGGCCGGGTAGAATGGTGAGATCTAACCAGCTTTAAAAAGTCCTGATCAATCGCCACATAGTCTCATTCGGTTCGAAACGATGTAAAATAAGCATTAAAAAAGAAAAGAAAAGGTCATGTGAATAATGCTATGTCTTTTAGATTCGGAGGTATTAATTGTAATCACCTCTGATTGAGTTGTGTATTTTGTTCATTTCGTTTAATTATTTATTTATTTTAGGATGGAGTGGTTACGCACTTCCGGAGATACCCCAGCTTCCTGCACTCCCTAGTTTCGACATAGCGTGGCCACTGGCGATCAAATTGAATGCCTTCACAATTGCCAAAATCATCCTGAAATTAGTTATCTTCAAACTGATCGTTAAATTCATCGCAATCATCTGTCTCCTCATGTTCATACCGAAATTAGAGATGAAGAGCGATAAGGATGATATGGACGATGACGAGGGCCGTAAGCTAGTTACGTGTAAGTGGAGACCAGTTTAAGCTGGTGGTCAATCAGTCGAAGGTCTTTGATGAATTGAGAAACCAGGGAAATCGCTCGCGTGAGAGCTCATCATTCACTTAGGATTTTTCTTACAGATGATTCAGCGATGCTGCGGATAAACGCATTAACTGCTGTGGTCCATGATGCCATTGATAAGTATCAGGGAGCTGATAATCATTCTGAGGAGTGTAGAAGCATCACCTGCAGGGTGAAGAGGCTCTTGGGGGCTGGAGACACCTGGAGAGATTATGTTAGAACTTTTAATAGTTATGTTGCTGAAGAGAAAGAGGATACGAATGATATGAAAACTTAGCTAGAGAATTGAATAACTCAATTATCCATGTATTTATTTATTTATGTATGAAAAATATTTATTGTAAAATATATAAATCGAAAAAAAGCAAGAACTAATTTTTTGGGGTTTATTAGAAATTGTCATTTTTCTTCGCTGATTCATCTCGAGATTTAATGATTCACTGGGGAAATATTGAAGAGTTTTTACCTAATTAAATTGTTTACAATGAATTTGTTTTGATTTTTTCATTTAAAATCAATACTTTTTTAGATAAATCGATATTCAATCAAGTTGGGAAATGTTTGGTGTTGTCATTCTGCTACTGGGTTCCATGAAAACGTTAATCTACTTTGCCAAATGCCCGCAAATTATTTAGGAATTGGAATTGATGAGAAACTGGCTGGTAGTGCAACAGGATGGGAGTCGAACCCCATTTCCGGTTGTCAAAGAAGAAGATCTGGGTCAGCAGTGCGGCTCGTGATTGAATCCGACTGAGGAATCTTAATTTTTCATTTTGCAAAGTCAAGTACCACTTTATGTTATGTTAAATAAAGTGAGTTATACCAATTTGGATTGAATGAGGATACGTTTCCGCGGTGAGATATCTTTGACCCGGTGCGACTCATATGGAAAATTTTAATAGAAAAACCTCGCGCTTTCTCTGAGAAACGGAATTTTTATTACGATTCTCCTTTTTCTTAATTTCATTCCAAGAAATATATGACAATTCAGCTGACAACACCTGGAAAATAAAAAACTTCAGGTATATTAATTTCGAATTTGTTCTGGACGTCGAAATGAAACACCATCTCTCAAATTTAGATAACACCCTCAAGTATTCATGGGCAAACTGTTACTGTATGAAATATTATGATGGGATTACTAGGCTTTTAGTATATTATTATATTATATATTCATTATATTTTCAATGATATTATATTATACGAATAAACGGTATTGATGTTATTGAAGTGTTCTGATAAAAATTATGGTGTTATGTGATGGTATATTATGTTGGGTACAGAAACACTGCGTGGGTGAATTTTATTCTTGTTACTATTTACTTTCCGGTGGAACTGGTACTGATATTTTGTATAATATTGAAACTTACACATTTATTTATGAATCGAAAGATTGAAGTAAAAACCCAGTTCATTGTTTGCTCTTATTCGCTGCTCTGGTATTTTATTTTGTTGGTGATATTTTTTGTGTGGATTTATGACATAATATTATATATTTGTAATATTTAAGGGCGTAAGCAAAATGTAACGCTGGAAATATAACTTTCTAGGGTAGAGCAGCTGGAAGAATAAAAATTATAGAATCCTCGGTGCGTAGACGGTCCGTAATTGTTGTCGCTTCACAAGCACGTGATTCAATCATGTAATTTGAACTGAATGATACAGAACAAATTGGTGATAGCACCAGGTCATGTTTGAGAAGCGAAGAATGAGATGAACTCTGTGACCAGTATTCACCGGTCGTTTCGTTTTGTTGAGGTACCAATTCCACGGAGTTTTTGTGCCTTGGAAAAGGTGGGGGAAGGGCTCGCACGCAATGCAACAATTGCCTTTATAAGTGTCTCGGTGCAGACGATGGTATTCAGTCATCTTTGACATACAGCTTATATCAGTTCTCTTGTCGAAGGTATTTACACATTTAGTGAAGATGAAAGCTGTTTTCGCAATCGGTGAGTTCAAAAATAGGTACCTATGATACCTCCAACTGTTTCGCCCGAAATTTCCGGCAAATGTTAGTTTCAGGAGTTATTCCCGATATTTTCCAATTTTTCATATTTTTTTTGTTTTGAGAATTTCTAGGAAACCCTAGATCGAATTGATGTGAAAAAAACAGACTGTTTTTTGGTTTTATCATCATTTAATGACTCACAAATTTTTATAGTCATGCGTCTATTATTCTAAATTTTTGGGAAAGTTTTGTAAAATTTGCAAAAGATTACTGAGAGCGTAGGAAAATTCTTACACAGTGAGTAAATTTCGTGAGTCATTGGAGAATAATAAAACATTAAAATTATATTTTTTTTCACGACAATTTTATCAGCCGTTTCGCAGAAATTTGGAATAAGCTTGAAGACCGAGAAGATATCGGCGATAACTCATCAATTATTTTGCATTCATTTTGCAGAAAATCATTCATATGATACCTGAATCTGAACCCGATTGAGTCGGATTCAATGTTATAGTTATTAATTGGTGAATTAATTCTATTTCGCAAGAGAATTCTTTGGAATCGTTATACATATACACTCATTATACATATACGTTATACATATATACTCAATTTTCGTTTTTTCGCATCTCTCATATTTCAAATAAAAAATTGTGGATCAAATGTTTAGTCGTTTTGTAGTACAAAAACATTTGTTTTTCATTAACTTCAATAATTTTCTTTTAATAAAATTCGCGCGTTCTTTTTTTGTATAAAAAAATTGGAAAGTTTATTCTTCTGGAAATAGTTCCTTATAGAAAAAAATCTCAACACCATAAATTCGAATAACACTCCAGTAGAAATTCCAAAGAAAAATGCAGAAATTAATTTTTTTTTGCGACACGAAGAGGAAAAGCGACCCTTTTATTTAATTATTCCAAGAGAGTATTTAACGGTGAAAGCATATGACTGTGACTTGAAATCATTTAAAATCGGACCTGAAATCATGTGAAATCGGAAATCACTTGAAATCCTGCGAAATCCTGCGAAATCAAATATCCCAAAAAATTATTTTAAATGCCTTTGAAGTCACATAAAAACAGGAATCATTGTATTGCAGAGATTGTTGAAGAAAGACACAATACGGTTGTTAATAAATAAATGCGGTGGCTTATTAATTCTTTAAATACAAGAAGAAGCGTCTTGAGAAGGATAATTTTTTTTTTAATAATAGACGATCCAGGATAGAAGACAATCATAATTAAGGGCTTCCTTGGGATCATTCATCACGGGGATTATAAGTCGAAGGGGGATACGTAACAGTATTATAATATTCGACAATATATCACCCCTCATGTTATACCATTGAATTCCTCCAGCTCTAGCAACGGCGTGCATCGTCGCCCTTTGCCAACAAGTAGACGCTTCACCATCAGACATGGAGAAGACCAAGGACACGAAGGCTAAGGATGCTACAACTGTCGTTAAGGACACGAAAGCTCAGAAGGACGCCAAGAAGAAATGCCAAAAAAATTGCTCAACCCGCGATCCAATTTGCGCCTACGTCCCCAGCAACTCTACCGTCAAGCCCAAGACCTTCGATTCATCTTGCCACATGGATGTAGACAACTGCGAACATGGAACCAGTAAGTCTCAATCAACCCTCAACACTCAGAGATTTCTCTCCATTTTTAGACATTTCTTGAAATTTCAGTCACAAAGTCTCAACGTGAATTTTCAGTTATACTCGGACCTGGATTCAATTCCAATTAAAACGATCGCTCAATTGCTAATTTATCATGAAAATTCAAGAAATGTAGTTTTAGTTTTTCATATTAAATTGTAATTGATTTTTCCATGAAATTTTGAATTTTCATACCCCTTATGAAGATTCAACAGTAAATATAATTGGATTTTTAATAGATTGAAAATTCAGGGGAATCATTGCTTGAATTTTCAACATTTTTACGGGTTCAACGCCGTATGGACCTGAAAATTCAGAATTTCGGCAATGGAGAATCCAAAATTATTTTTCATTGGGAATTATTAATCAACAAAGAGTTCTACAGAAATTTCACATGACTTTATTTTTGCTGAAAATATCAATTTTTTAAATTTCAAGTGTAATTTCACAACAGTATGCGTATAATCTTGGAAATTTTTAACGAGTAATTTTCCGTGGATTTCCAAGAAATTTTCTCAATTCTTTAATTATTATTTCCATTTTTCATTTATTTTTAACGAATTCAATGAAAATCACGAAAATTCAGGATTGCCACTCTTTGAATCCCAAATTGACCAAAATTTTTCGTGAATTCCTCCAAAATTTCCGTTAGAAGACTTGAAATTCCTAGAAAATTGATTTCATGTACTAATATGGCTTTTATATAATTCGTTATAGAAATTCCGCAATTTTTTTATCGATAGAAAACATATTGAAAGGTTATTTCTAAAAAAACCGAAATAAAAAATTTTTCACCGACCTTTTTTTATAGTGTATTCGATTTTTCTAATTACGATTTTCTCCTATATTTTCAGAATACGTTTTCAAGAACAAAGGTCAATGCGTTTAAGATCACACCGAGAAATGGCAAGACTATCCTCATTACATAACTCTACCACCAACACCCGCCCATGTATATTTGAGCTCTTTCCTTGTAATTATAAAAAACCAATGTAGAAGAAAAATTTCTTGATTAAATGCTGCATAATAGCACATCCTCTATTATTATTTTCATTTCAATCCAGTCATATAAAAAAAACCCAACATTTTATAATTAATCAATACAACAAAACACAATTATTCCAAATTGTTTGAAATAATAAAAAAATAAAAAATCACTCTCATTGAAAGGAATTGTTCAAATAAATTTGTCTCAACCCAACATTTTATAATTAATCAATACAACGAAACACAATCATTCCAAATTGTTTGAAATAATAAAAAAATAAAAAATCACTCTCATTGAAAGGAATTGTTCAAATAAATTTGTCTCGTAGAATTATTATGTAGCCCTTGGTGTGTCGAGACTAATCACCGAACAATAAACACATTGAGTGTTTACAGCATGAATTAATAATTTAATGAGGATGCAGGGTCTTCTGGGGTTTAGTACAGAGTGAACAATGTCGAGAAGAGGACTGGTGAAAAGTTCCTTCGTATTGTTTGTATTATCCATCCTCTGGGGAATAGCCGTGTGCCCGGAGATTCTCAGGGCGTGTTTGGAGTGTAATCAAGGGTCTGGAGGTGATGTGAAGCTGGAGGATGTCGAGAGCAGAGTCTCCAGACTGGAAAGAAGACTCCGAGCTATGGAGCAACCTGGTAAACAATTCTAGCCGTCACAATAAAACCTCGAAGAACTTTTCTCTCTTTCTCCAGTGGATCAATTAAATTATTCGTATTTAAATAATCGTTAAATAGTCTGGGAGATCAGAGGATGGTCCGGAGACTGGGAATTATGTGCAGAAGGGCCCTGCAAGTGTTTACCGGAGACAAAATCCATCTCCTGCTGGAGACAGGAGCTCATTGACGTGCCTCCTACCCAGCTAGTACCTCAGGATACCCTGAAAATGTGAGTCCACCTTGACTGTTTACTGTTCAATGGAAATACCTTTTTTTAATTGTATTTCAGAGATCTGGGCAGCAATGAGCTCAGTGCACTCCACAGAGACACCTTCCAGGATTTAATTCACCTGCGAGACCTGTCAGTATTCAATTACCTCTAGAAATTTTGGGACCTATCATGAATTCGCAACATTTTTTCAGAGATCTCAGTAATAATATGATCGAGCATCTGCCACTCAGCATCTTCTACTCCCTCCACAGCGTTACGCATCTTAAATTGAGTAAAAATCTACTGAGGGACTTGCATCAGAGCCAATTGCTGAGGATGAGGAATCTTCAGATTCTGTGAGTAGAGGAGATCGATACCCGCTACAATAAATAGCTCGTTGTTGATATTCATAATTATTAGGAAATTATGTACCGGCTATTTATGATCTGAAGGACAATTCATACTGAAATGATTATGGAAAATTACATTATCATATTGCAGTTCGTGCATCGTACCCTTCGTTCTTCAAAAATTGTTAATTCCAGTAGTTTTGCAGTTATATCCATAATTTTTTAAAGATGTTAACTTTAGATAGGTCTATAATTACATCCTATTCTAAAAAGGACTATCGAGACTATCGATATCTCGAAAGTCTGTCACGCTTATTCCTTAGGCGGCTAATTTGAATTTCGGACTTCGAACATTTAGATTAAAAAGTTTCAACCACGATTTGTATAATTAAATTATACAAGCTCGTTCTCGTGTTATAAAACACGAGATCTACTGCGCACTCGGTGCGCCAAATTCGAATTCGACTCGACTTCGGATTCGAGTTGACCAATAAGGAATCAGTCTTACGAGTTTCGACTCAGGCAACTTAGATAAGGATATTTCGACTCAGACGGACTTCATTTATGTGTCTCTGATTTCATAATAAGGATCAATTAAAATCAGTTGTTTCTCAAAGGAGAAATTCAATATTTATTGTTCAACATATTGTGCATCTGTTATATACTTTTTCAATATATATAATTAATACTGACGTTTTTAATATTACATGAAATGCGTTAGTATTCACAAGCATATTCCTAATTTTATAGCAAAAATAATATTGGTTACAACATCTTAAGCAATATCTCACTTGTTTCGCTTTCCCCTATAAAAAATATAATAATTATAAAAATGTCATACTATTTAATAATAAATATAATAAAATTATAAAATTTTTAAAGAAACTGGTAGGTTTTTCTGTTGATTTTTAAGAATTGTTTGCGTTTATCAGCGATCTCTCATCAAACAAGCTGGTCAACCTGCCAGATGGTCTCTTCATAACGAACACTGTCCTCTACCTCCTCGATGTATCATCAAACCGTATCGCATCTCTACCAAGTGGAATATTCTACGGTTTGCGAGACCTCGAGGATCTCCTATTCGCGAAAAACCATCTGGCCTATCTCGACGTAGATGTCCTGAAGGATTTAGTCAGTCTCAAGTGCATCAGACTGGAAGAAAATCGCCTCAGAGACATCCCAGTTGGACTTCTGGACTCGCAGATTAATCTCGTGGAACTGAACCTGAGGGACAACAGATTAGTCTCACTCCCTGCGAGTTTATTCTCTCAGCTGGAGCGTTTGACAAGTCTGGATCTCTCCAGCAATTTAATATCCAAAGTAAGTAGAAGAACTCTTTCCGAAAAGAGTAGAAAACTCGTTCAGAGTTTCCAAAACCATTTAATTAAAATTGCATTCAAGCTTTGTAAGGAAAAGTATTTATTTTTTGTGTTCATTTTAAAAATGATTCTTGGACATGTTTTTTATTTATGTAATTTTGTAATTATAATAAAAATAAGGAGAATTTTTATAAAATTAGAAATTCAAAAGCGCTCTTACAGAAATTGTTGCATTATTTTATTATTTTTTTCATATGTCGAGAAAATCCACTCATTCACTGTTTACTTAGATGGATAGAGACGCATTCAGAGGTCTCACGGCCCTTCGAGAACTTCGTCTTGGACGCAATCACATAAAGGCATTTCCCAAGGGAATTTTCCTCAGGACTCCCTCGTTGCAACACTTGGTTCTCTACGCAAATGCCATTGAAGTTTTAGACGATGGGGATTTTCAAGGACTTGAGAATTTAACTTCTCTTTTTTTGCACTCTAATCGGATTCGATATCTCCAAGCTGATGTTCTCAAGGACACCCCAAATTTGAAAAAATTGTAAGGATTATGAAATGTAGCTATAATTTTTCAATATTGCGCAAAGAAAACTTCTAAATAACATAATTAGTGGTACATTGACTCGTTCTACAATCCAGTTTTTGAGGAATATCTCTAAGTCTAAGAGAGATAACAAAATTTTCACTTTGGCCTCTGTTGTAGAGTATAGCGAAGGCTTAAACAAAATTTATTGAAAATGGAATAGAATCGTATCAGTTTAAGTTATGATTGAATTAATATAGTTCAAGCCAGACGACAGACTAGAAGAGTTACAGTCGAGCAGTACAGCATCGATTAAGAATTAGCAACATTCTCTAAAGGAATTTCAGTTGCATCAGAGTACATCCGCTACACAGTTCATATCAACGAATTAAATTACCAATTATCGTGTTATCTATGTCAGAGCGTTCCTCCTTTTCATAAATTAGTCACTCAACAATCAACATTTACAGAAAAATGTCGTCAACTCCCTCTGATTCAGAAATATTACTCAAAAACATAGAGACCTGCTAAAATAGCTAAAAATGACGAACCGATGAAATAATGGTTAAAAAAAATTGAATCAAGTGTGCAAGCTCGAATAATCACCACACATTATTCTCATTTGTCCTTTACCCCAGACTCGATACTGCTATAATTGAAATTAATAAAGTGATTTATCCACCAGACAATTAGAGGGTAATCATCTGCAGTACTTGCCGGGTCGTTTCTTGGACAGTGTCCCGATAATTCAGCAATTGCGTCTCGCTCGTAACCCCTGGCACTGCGACTGTCAAACAGCATATTTATCAATGTGGCTGAGAAAAATGTATCTGTCAAGAGTCAATGGGAGTACAAATGGCCGTGGAAATTTCTGGGAGTCGGGTGCAGGAGCAGTTTGCCGGGGCCCAGGTACTCTGGGTGGTAAATTAGTCGCCGAATTATCTTTCTACGATCTTTGTGAGGGCCAGTGGGCCTCCATGAAGGGCCTTGCCCCTCGAATCCCCGTCGATGTGCTCGGCTGAATGCCCCCGGGTCTCAACGAAAATAAATCCAAAGGTCGAATTGCTTTACTTAATTTCGTCGATGGAATTTCTTATCGAGTCCGACGCCCAGGGGTCATCGCGATTAAAACCAGAGGGAACAGTATTTTTTATTCCATAAAATTATAGTCGAATTATTTCTGTATTCCACTGATATAGCTAATAAATATTATTTTCCAACTCACCGAGGGTGTATTCATACATTGGGGCAGAGTTTCGATAAATCTTCAATTATACCATAATTTTCACATGTTTTATCAAAGAGTTTTAATTTTTTTGAGTCCAATAACACGAGCGAATACCAAATAAAGAATTGTACAATTATTTCTATCATTCCATAGATACAATTTATAAATATTGATAACCGAATGATTCTTCAAATGATGATTCTTCAGATGTTTGCATTTTTTTTTCGTTCTTTTGAGATTTTTTTAGCAGTCTAGATAGTTGATCAATGGTTGATGCAGTTGTGGCGAAAATAATGCGAAGACAGTTCAATGACACCAGTCGAAACTGACCTACTGTAAAATCAGCGGGGCCTGAGTGGGGACCAGTTATTTCACTTCTTGGTGGCCTGGGAGCGTCAGGAACGTCAGTACGCGCCTTGCCATGGCCGCTTCAAGTTCCCACCAGATTCTAGGGATTCTAGAGGAAGTGCTGGAAATATTAAAAAAAGAACACGTGTTCGATACCACAGGAAAATATCCGGTGGTCGAGTTTTTGCATCCCAAAGAGTTACAGGTGAATTTTTTCGTCTCACATAAAATCTGTCACATAAAAATTTATCTAATTAACATCCAAACAACCGGAACATTATCCACTAATTTTAATCATCGCTCATTTAATTTTTTTATTGTCACGTTTTTAATGAGTTTTCATGAGGAAAAGTGCGTTTTACGTAACACAATAATCAAGTCAACAAATAAAAACACATGGCGTTATCTCAATCTCTCAAGTAACGACTAGGTTCTGATAAAGACAGTTCCGTTCGTTGCCAATTTTTCCAGTCACTCGGAATCCTCGATTACTGTCCCAGTTCGTTATTTATGGAATAATAGACCAGAATAACGACATTTACTTTCTAATCTCGGTCGTCACGTATAAAAACATTCAATTGAAAAACCTGGGGCTTGCTCTGAAGAATTTTATGGGAGTTCTACTTGGATTCCATTAAAAAATTATACCGCATAACGCCGACAAGTGTCTTGAAATGTTTATGTTTTCGCCTAATTTATTCTATTCGCATGCGCTTTGCGTGCATATGATCATCATGTCGGAACGCAAAACAATATATTCGATAAATAAAATATATAATAATATATATTCAATAAAATCTTCATGTATGTTTTTTTATTCTGTAATAAAAGAACGTAGATAATACATTGAATTGTAAAAGGCTCATACCCTATCAATTCCATCTGGATTAATTTCAAAGAGATTCAGAATTTTTTGGAAATTCAATCGAGCTTTTCAAAAAGGTCCTACACCCATCTATAGTCAAAATTAAAATCAATCTGTAGATCAATTTTCATCAAAGTCACATAGTTGCGTCGATATACGGGAGTACTTCCTTAAGTAATGCTTTTTTATTAATATGTTTTCTTATTATTACACAGGACAAACTAGATGTTGTCCTCAGAGACGACGCAGCTACTTCGGAGGAAATAAAGAGAGCAATGAGGGCTATCGTAAAGTACTCTGTGAAAACATCGAATCCTCACTTTCATAATCAATTATATGGCGGATTCGATGGATACGGATTAGCTGGGGCTTGGATATCAGAGAGTCTTAATACAAGCCAGTAAATAACCAGATTTATTACTAACAGAATATCTGAATAATTGAAATGAATTCAATGATTTAATTCACTTCCCCAGAGGCAAACAAGACCTTTGAAGCAATTGTAGTTGAATTACCGATGCTAAGGGTATGACTCTTTAATTACTTAATTTCTTTATCCACTCGTAGATATACGTATGAAGTAGCTCCAGTATTCATGATCCTGGAGCGTCAAGTCCTGGACAAAGCCCTCTCCCTCGTAAACTACTCAAGCTTTCCGAATGCCGATGGAATCCTCTGTCCAGGTGGAAGCGTATCCAACATGTACGGAATGATTCTAGCTCGTTATAAACGACTGCCACAGGTTAAGACCAAAGGTTTGAGTGGATTACCACCTCTTGCCCTTTTCACCAGTGAATTGGGTCATTACTCTGTCCACAAAGGAGCTCACTGGCTTGGATTTGGTACTGAGAGTGTTTACAATGTGAGCTTTTTGAATTTTAATCCATCTCCCATGCAACGAAAAATTTATTGTTAGGAATTTCTTGAAATTTCTGCCCCTTCTAGCCAAAATTCATAGTTTTTCATTTGCAATTCATTTTTTTATTTTCTGACAAATCGTTGAGCGGATTGACGACAAAGAATATATCGTTTTCAGATTTTATCATTATTTAACTGAATGAGTCCCAAAAATTCATGAAACTTAAACATCTTTCAATATTATCAACCAGAAAATCACCAATGACCAGAATATTCAAGAAATTAAATAATTTGTCAGGGAAGAATTATTAAAAATTTCAAGTTTTTTACTTGAAATTTCCAAACAGTGTAGTCTTTTGACTCATGAGGAATTTTTACTCTGACGTCGACAAAATCACTGACAAATTATCTCTGTGGATTGAACATACTTAAGAAAACTAAAATTCTAGACTCTCCATTTTAATTCTTCTGTTAGAACCTTGACTAAAATTTCTTTGACATCACTAAAATTAATTGTTGGAAACATACTTATTCCTTTGTTGATTTCTGTGTAATTTTTACCGAACAATTATCATTATTATATAGAATAATTCAAATCATCAAATTGAAATTTTCAACTAATTTTTCTCCACCGAATTTTTGCTCCTCCACGTTTTCTGGTTCCCTGTAATTTACTGCTTTCTGGTAGGTCCAAGGAGTGATATATTTCCCTGTAAATTATCGAATTTACAGGTGAAAACAGATGCTCTGGGGCGAATGGAGCCTCAAGATCTCCGGAGAGCGATCAAAGAAGCTCGGAAGAAGGGTTTTACCCCTTTTTTTGTCAATGCCACTGCAGGAACTACTGTTCTCGGGTCTATAGATCCACTTGACGAGATAGCGGAGATTTGCGAGGAAGAAAAACTCTGGCTCCACGTCGATGTTCGTAGTCTATTCATTATTCTCTTATATTTCGTTATTTTTTTTTCATTTTTCTTTATTATTCGAGACAAAGCAGCAACGAACGGATACAGATATATTGATAAATATATATAAATATATTCTGGATACTTTCAGGCGTGCCTCGGGGGCTCATTGCTTCTCTCTGAAAAATATCGATGTCGGCTGAGAGGAATCGAAAAGTATGTGCTGTTAAACTGTATTTAAATACCAGAGATTATGTATAATGCGCGTTTCTAGGTCGAATTCAGTTTCCTGGAATCCACATAAGATGCTGGGTACGCCTTTCCAGTGCTCCATCTTTCTCGTCAATGCGAGGAATCTTCTCCATGAGGCCAATTGTGCTGGAGCAACGTATCTCTTTCAACAGGATAAATTCTATGATGTCTCTTGGGATACTGGGGATAAGAGTGTACAGTGTGGAAGGAAGGTAATATTGAGAATTTCGGAGTAAAATTAATTCAGAATTATTTTAATTATAGATTGGAATTTGACTTAATTTTTATGACTAAATATTACAGGTTGATGCTGTGAAATTGTGGTTGATGTGGAGAGCGAGAGGCACAAGAGGTCTCGCTGCATCAGTGGACATTGCAATGGAAACCGCAGAGTACTTCCTCCAGAGGATTGAGGATCGAAACGGCTTTCGTCTGGTTTTTCCTAAATACGAAGGAAATACTGTCTGCTTCTGGTACGTTCCCCCCACCATGAGGAATCAGGAGGAAACACCAGAGTGGTGGCAAAAATTGTATAATATTACGAGGGAAATCAAGGAGATTCTGGTGCTTGAGGGAACCCTGATGATCGGGTACACGCCGATGCCTCAGAAGAATCTGGGGAATTTTTTCAGAATGGTAGTGAGTTGTCAACCCCCGCCCACCCGTCAGTCCATGGACTTCGTGGTGGAGGAAATCGAGAGGATTGGAAAAAGACTTTAATATGATTTCATTATAATAGCACAGTGAAGGCAAGACAAAATATTGTAAATGCGATTTATTACCTCAGGTCGCTATAACTTTGTACATGGATTAATATTTTCAAGAAGTTATTCCAGGGGTGAATAATAAAAGTATTTATAATTAACTGTATTGTGTTTGAAACGTAACAAGTGGCTGAGTTGAAAATTACAGAAAATAAATGTAAATAAGTCGTGGAGTAAAATGCATTCGACTGATAAAATGTTTGGATTAATTCCTATGGATAAAAATTTCTTATTTTAGAGTAGTTGACTCAATGTGAGTCGGATTGCAATGAAATGAATGCATGCAACATTCGATAAAATTTCGTCGTGTACTTATGCTAAAAAAGCTGTCACTTCAAAAACATATAAAAGATTTTTTACGCATTTCTATGTACATATGCATCATGGCACTACGTCACATTCCAATTAATCATTAAAAATAATCTCGAAAAAATACATTGATCTCATTATTTTCTATAGATAGATATATTTACAGTTTTTTGGGGTTGGGATTATCATTATGAGCTCTTAACGGCGTAATTTCCTCGAGAGGATTCCAGAAATATGGGAATATTAGCGTTAAAACAAATTGAATCATCATGTCTGTTTGATGCTCCTAAGAACGCTAATGGATTATTCATAATTGTGTAAAGCTTTATACAAGTGACACTCAAAATGCCCAACCAAGCTGCATGATTAGTCAACTCTCACTCTTATTTACATAAAAAAAATAAAAATAAACTCTCAAATTCCTGATAAAATATCGAAATAAAACAGACGATTGTCTTCGAACTCCTTTAAAACTTCGCAATAATTCCAGTAATTCTCACCATTTTTTTCTCTCAACCATGAATCCCCAGTTTGTTTTTCACTTCATCATTCGTTTCCAAGTAAGAATCACGTCTAGATACCTACACTGAGACCATTGACTGCGAAATCACGAGTTCCACTATTGAGCAACGTCGTCGGTATAAACAAACATCTACTGTACTAAAAAATAACAACAAGGCCACGGAATCACTTGTCAGCATTCGCCAACAGTTCCTCGACAATTCTCAGTCTCCGTGCAGTAATTGCAATTAGAATCTTTACCCTAATTAAGTATCAGTCGAGTTTGATCATTGAGAAAAATCTTAATAATACTTTTCCTGATCCAAATCCGCACGAATGTGCTGCTGTCCATGGCTGTTGCGTTTGAGGGTTGCAGACTCGTAGTCGAGGGCCTTTGGATACAACTTGGGACTTCCTAGACCGTTGACATTTGGGTTTGGCTTCCTGAGGGTACCGTTGAGATCCCTAGCTCCAGAGAAACTCGGTGCTCTCTTGGCGTTCACCTGGAAGCAGCACTGATATTACATTCATTTTTTTAACGTCATAGAAGATCTCAGGGCAACATTTTAATCCAATCCCATAAAACTTATTTATTCGAACAATATAAACTAGGCGAGCTCATCCGTCGGGCCAAATATTCGATGAATGCGTGAACATTAAATGCATGAGTATTTGCGAGGATAATGAAAGTGATTATGAATTTTGTTGGAACGGCTTTACGATTTTTCAAAACATGACACGTGAAATTGAACATATTATCGACGGAATTAGGGAATGGTATGTAAGAGTAATAGATTCCAATTAATTACAGCGAATGGTAAGATAAATAGCAATAAATGTGAATTTTATAGGGTGACATAAAGGTGAAAAATCGATAAACATCAATAACTCTACAAAAACGAGACTAATCAGATACAACTGACACTATTTTAAAGACCATAACATTTTCTTTAAAATACCGTACAAATATTCGTATTTATTTGTTTTAGAAGGATTATTTACTTATGCATCATATTCATTCCTTTGTAATTATATATCATTTTTTCAATTATAATTTTTATGGATATAGGAGTTTCGAGGGTTCGTATGAAAAAGATAAATGGGTAGTATGACCTTGCCCGGTCTTTTATCACCCCGTCCCAGTACCAGCGGTGTACCCTAGCCTAATTCTGTACCCCCACGTCTCTAGCTAACTTATAATTAACTCCAGAGGCTATCATTTCGTTTTCTGACGATACTTTCATTTTTCCATCATCGAGAACGAACTTGCGCTACATGGGGTATTTCGTTCGTAGGACGTTTTGTTTTCATCAAAATATAATACATGGAAAATAAATGAAAAATTACCTCCTTGAGTGGTACAGCAACGTATGGATTCTGCTTGCTGATATAATGAGGGCTTCCAGGTACCCTGACTTTCCTCTTCTTGACATAAACGAATCCAACCCCCACAGCGATGCCCACTCCAGCAAGAAATCCAACGATGCATCCCCCGACAACAGCTCCCACAGGCAGTCCAGCAGCCACAACACTCCTTGGAAGAGCATTAGAAGTAATCTCCCCATGCCAATCTTCATAGCAGTCCCTGGTTTCCCTGCTGCCTCCTTGGCACCCCCCATTGCTAGGGTCCACGCAGACACGTCTTCTGCTCTGCTGTCCTGCACTGTCACAAGCACTCCACTTGCTCCAGGCATCCCATCCCCTGAGGGAGTCACAACTTGGCATCTCGCAGCTCTCCCTCATGAAAGTGGGCCCTTGACAGGAGCCCTTGAGACATTCCCTAGATCTGCTCTTTACCCCAGTTCCACAGAACACAGAGCACTCTGACCAATCAGTCCAGCAGGACCACTCACCCTCAGAGTCGTCTCTACAGGCATGAACATTGCAGACTCTGCTCTGGAGCCCTGCCCCCTCACAGGGAGGTGTTTCACACTGCCTCACCCTGTGTTGACTCCCTCCACCACAATTTTTTGTGCATGGATACCAGGGGGACCAGTCTGACCAGGTACCCTCAATCTCAGAAGCGCTCTGAAGGGTAATATTTGTCCTGGAGCATGAGCCATCGTCTCGGCAGAACCTCTCCTCCTTAACCAATTGTGACCGGACACTGCTGGGATCCTCAGTGTGTGCTTTGCAGCTAAATTTGAATCTCTTCTCCATGTAAGCACCATTCTGAAGACCACTTACATTCGTGGATGGCAACCAAGGTGTCCAGCTGGAGTATCGCTTTGTCTCGGGGCAGAGATGAGTGTTGCAATCCTCGATTTGGAAACTGCAGCCAGGGCATTCGGAACCACCCTCTCTGCTAGGTTTGTCACAAGTACGTCTCCTCATTCTTATTCCACTATTGCAGGGTTTGGAACACGAGTCCCAGGGCCCCCAGGAAGACCACTGGGCGTGCGGGGGTGGCTGAGATTTCGCTGGGGCTGGACATGGTGGCATCTCAATACAGACGATCTCGTCATGATCGTGACCCACACAGACTCGACCACCGAATGCTGGAGCTGGATTTGTACATGTTCTTCTTCTCGTTTTTATGGCAAAACCACACGTCTGGGAACAGGCAGACCAGGCTGACCAGGCTGTCCAGCCACCATGGACAGTGCAATTGGAGACCTGTATTCTTGGCCCTGAACAGCTTGAACCACCGTTTTGTGGTGGTGGATTGTTGCACTCTCGGGTTTGACACTGACAGATATCTGAGGGAGGCTCTGAGTGCTCTGAATGAGGGCGAAGGTGGGAACGAGGGTATAAAGAGGAGGAGGTGCTATGCTGGCAGGGGGCCCAGGCGCCCCAGACACTCCAGCCACCGTCAACTGGATCCGTTAACACTGGGCAACGAGTTACCTCTTGTTGCCAGTGATTAGCAAGATGATTGTCCATCGGAGCTACGTCGCACTTCATCAGGTATTCGTTCCAACCACAATAGGGCTCCTGGGCATTCAGGCAGGTTCCCCGATTTTTATGACGATGACACTGAGACGCGGGGATTCTGCAAAGTAGAATAATGAATTTAATTCCATTTTACTTTAATTAAAATCAATAAATTATCTGTGATGATGTACATGGATAAGTCGATAATTTTATGGAAAAAGAATTGAATGATTCAATATTAGATTATCATTATGAATGATTTAATTAAATACCTCAATAGCCCAGTCTCCATTCCCACGTACAGACTCTGTGAGTCCTTCAAGAACTGCAGGCTCATGGCTGGAGAAGGCAGAGGTCCCCAAACTTCCACAATACAAGTCTCATGTGTCCTTGGTAGAACTGAAATCTTCTTGACGAGGCCCTCAGCAGTGGCAACGTAGAGCACCGTCACCCCTCGATGAAGCTTTGTAGGTACAACATCCACAGCGATGTGAGTAAATCGTTCCATAGTTGTCGAATGGAGTGGTGAAATTGTTGTGCCCTGCACTGCATCATCCATCAACTGATATCGTTGATTATCCATGATTTGATGGTCTGGAACATTGACCGGTGTACCACAGTATTGTTTGTAATGATTGGTCACTCGTTTCTTTTCCCAGGCAGCACCCGAGTGCTCTTGATGCTTGAATGGCCCATTAAATGACGACGCTATTGCTGTCATGTTGAAGGCACAAATGGCCGAGCCAGCGATGGCATTGCTGTGGTTTGAAAATACAAGTTCCGGGAGTTATTTATCGGTTTTAAATATTCGTGGTGATGTTTTACGAATTTTTCACGAGTAAATGATCATCAAACAGATGTAGAAATTCTTGTATCGGATATAGAAATTCCAGTCGACGTACATTGAACATGAAATACCTCACTGATGATTTTTCCCATGATTAATCCCAAGTATTTGAGTGCAGTATTAGAGAAACAGAAATCGAGGTCAAGATGAGAATTTGCCAAGTGATTAACTCGGGATTGGATTTAGAGGTAAAGGGTAAGAAGTCCGTTTAAATAATCGATAAGTTTTCAAGGAATATCTTCAAATCTAAAGGAGATAGCAAAATTTTTGTGAAGACATTTTTTTTATCTCTCATTTCTCTCTACAAAAGAGGTTGTAGTAAAAATTTATCCATCTCTCTTAGATTCAGAGATGTTCTTGAAGACTGAATTGAGAACCAAATCTACATGTTAATGTTCAACTCTTGACTACTAAATTATAATTTTTATCATGGGCGCGTACCTGGGAGTTGTGAACGTAGCATAGACGATTCCCTCCTCTGAATTATAAGCTGCTCCCTGGATCTCGTCGTAGTAAAACGGAAATTCACCAGGAAGTGAGCAATTTAGTCGTGCCTTGCTGAAGCTTGTCCATGTGTCTCTCATCAGAGGCTGACCCCCTGGGTCTTTTTTGCAAACTCGAGCAATTCGAGAGTAGATTTTCTACATTAAAACAGAAACAATGAGATCATCTCTCGCCTCGTGGATAAATTAACAGGTGGATCGATGGAAATTAAACTGTCCTTGAAAGGATACTGCACACCTGTACACCTAACAACTATTACTTCAACTCAATCTCGTGGTTAATTGTACTGCATAATCACCTAATTAATGTCAACCCTTTGCAGGAGAAATAACCGAGTGTTGAACAGTGACTACACGTAATTCACCTCCATTTAATTTCGTCGGGATATTTTTTCCACACCAATTGTCATTTAATCATTCGATAATTAAGATATAACTACAGTTTTATTGTTATTACCTTGCCGCAATTTATGTACTCCACAGCGATCTCACGGAAGAGAAAATAAACATGATTCTCTGTTTCAAAACTGCCGACGAACTGGGGATCGTTTAGCCACCTTAAAATCGTTAAAAATTTTATGACTTTATTATTTTTTCAATGCGTAAGTATTGGGGGTAATGTTTATTGTCATTTGATGAAGAGAAAATTGTCATTTCTTGAGGAATTTATATTTTATTGTAGATTATTAAAAAATTTTCCCAGCATGAAATTAGCTGTCCTGAGACCTCTTAATAGTCAAAAGTCAATCGAAGTAAAATTAATTCGCTAATTAAAAATCCGTATAACGTTATCATCGTTTTATTTTATTATGATATTCATACTGTTTTTTATTCAGTTTAATTTAGCGATAAATAAAAAAAATAGTCAATTATCTGGAATTTTCTTGGAATTTCTCGGTATTTCAGTGTTTTTTAGACTAAACATTCAAGAGAATTGCGTATTTTCGACTTTTAAGCTGTTGCTTATCGATGAAAAAAAATCAAAATAATGGACCACGCACAGAAAGAGGAAATAATTATTAATTTCCTCAATTACCTCGAGTCATATTGATGTGTTCTTAAACTCGGTGATGCTAGTGTTCTATAAATAGCTGCATCAGCTCCAGAAAAATCAGTTGGTGCTCCAGCAAAAAGTCCAGCATTACCCCTAGCAAGTAGAGCTGTCACATTAGCATGAGGAGAGTACGGGCACATGGCAACACCGGATACGGTACTTGTCACACTCTTAATATTCTCAATCTGCAAAACCAAGAGAAAACAAGGAAAATGATTAAGAATCTTCAGTAAATGGGTAGACTAAGACAAGTAGACTTGGCTCAGCCGCAATGATCGGTAATGATTTTCTAAACGAAGAGATATGCAGATGTCCACATGAAAAGACCCCTTGTTAGCTATATGGAGTTAGCTACATGGGCATTCCTGATCAAATTCCGGAAATATTGAGTCCAAATAGAACTGTTCAATTCGTGGAGTTTAAAGTTTAAAATTGTAAACTTGCAAAACAATATTTTGAGAAAATCGATATTAAAGGTAGACAATGGATTTATTAGTGCTCTATTTGGATTTTTCTGGGATTGTAGTCTAAATTTTAAACTGACCCACGGTATCATTATGATGCGTCAAATCGAGTGATAAATATGATAAAATTATCGGATAATAATTCCAACCCAAATCACGAAAGTGTCGATATCTCGGAAACTAGAAGTGCGCATAATTTCATATGGAGGATCACATGTTCTATAAACCATGCCTCTAGTGCACGTGTTCCTCTACAAAAAATATGATTATGAAAATCTCTTGATCTCTCTTAATTTGAGATATATGTACCTTATGAGTGATTTAGGTGATACACGTTTATTATTATTATTACTAGTTTATGAATTTCTGATAAAAATTATTTGGCCTCGAATCATTGATGCCAGAATGAATTCAGAATCATGCGGGAGGGTAAACAGCGTCAGTTGCACCCCACGAGTTTTTTTTATAATGCATAATACGATTAGTTGTCTCAGAAAAAATTACCTCACGCCAGGTGCACTGCGGACTGAAGGCATGGGTTCCACAGGTGAAGAGGCTCTTTCCATTGCTCAGGAGGACTTTTATGTAGTTGTGGCAGTCCTGGGCGGTCTGACCTTTATCCTGACAGATAGAGGCCTTTTCAAGGGGTGCTGGCCATGTCGCGTGCTCCAGAAGAGTCAATGAGTTCAATGTCAGACGGTATAAATTATCTCTGGAGAAAAAAAAAAAAGATAATTATTAGAAATGTCGATTGGACTACACGGAGAGAAATATTTAGTAAAAATTACGGAACTTTCAGTTCACTTACCGATTGCGGAGTTGATTTGAAAAATTTAAGTGACGGTATCGTTATTTTTCACCGATAATTCAGATAAAAATTACGGAACACCGTGGAAAAATTCCGTGACTTTAGTTAAAAATTACGTGACAGTTCCGTAAAATTTCCGACAACCACATTTCGCTCCAGAATTACGGAAAATACACGTAATTTTTATTGAATATTTCTCTCAGTGTAGTTAAACCACAATTTTATATCTCGATTATACTTTCGTTAATTCCAATAATATTCAATAAGATAATAAATTAATGATAGATTATTAATATTATAATTATTTATAATAAAACAGAATTAGTGTCCTGAAAAATTATTCTTCCGAATTCCTTTGGAACGGTTGGTGGTAATTCAAGAAATTTCTCCCACCAGAATTTAATGCGATTATGATCATCATATGGGAGGACTTGCGAAAATAAATGTATTTTTTATTTTTTGTTTTTTATTTATTTGAAGTGCTGGGGCCCGTATTGTGGGGTATTTACATATTTCTTGTGATTATGATTATGATTATGATTATGATTATGATTATGATATATATGAAAATTATTCTCATAAGCTAAGCTACGCGACGAGAAGCGGTGACACTTTCCGTTACACCTGGATTTTTAAAAAGGAAAAAGGGAAAAGGAAAAAGGGAAACGGGAAAAGGAAAAAGGGAAAATGTGACAGTGTTCTGCAATTTAATGTGATCGAATGAAGAATTATTTCGAATGTTTGCGGCTCGCAAATTTCTCTCGAGAAATGTTAGTACGACCTCGAATGTCCCCAACAGGTCGTGCTTTCAAGTGGGCAGTGTTTTTTTGACGATACGACAAAGTCAAGTGACTCCAGACAACATTCCTCTCGCAACCCACTTGAGCTCTCCATTTCGTGCCTTTTATCATTGGTAACAGACGTTGCTCACGTTCTCGTAGGCGATCTAGCTCCACAATCGATACTGAAATTATTCGCAAAACTCGGGGTATGCTCCCGTATCTCAATGAGAGTAGGTTGGGGTGCGTGTACACTCGATAAATAAATTACCGATCATTTTATAAATAAACCAGGCGTTGGCACCGGGCATTCGGAGATAAAAAATGGATCCAGTTGGAGTCGGACGATGGATAAGCCGTTATCAGGGTACATGCTGGTGGTTTTGTGCTGCTCGGACTCAGAATCAAGAGATTAATGGACTGAATTTTCGGTTTTTATCATTAATTTCACCAAAATACGAGACATTTATTATTCAAAAATTGTCCTCGATGACTTTCTCTGGTTTTTCCCACTCTGAATTATCAGAATGTGAATGAAACACTAAATAAAATACTGATCGAGCAGTGAGATTAGTTGAGCCTCTAATCACTCATTTCTGATACGTGCGAGTGAACTTTTTCCCTCTCAATTGGCTCGATAAAATTTTCCCCTCGAGTCAATATTTTTTTAATTCCCTCTTTGGTAACACGTGTCTCAAGGTATCCTCGGGGCGACAAATGCACACGGAGGCAAATCGCCGAGACGTGAAAACCGGCGAGCCAAGCATAAATGGCGCCTACGTGGGCGCTACCTCTCTCACTTGTCCGCTCGAAACACAACTCCCTATCATGAGATAGTTCTTAACCAAGGTAATTATTATAAAGTGGAGTATAAGTGCGATCAGGTACCGTAGAATGCCAATTAATAAACCTTCTGCATGTTAGGGTCTCAGGGAATTTCACCCTGATTTGTTATCGCTGGAGAGATGGACGTGTACATTAGCCTTTGGGGCTAAATACATGCTAATTTCACCGTTCAGAATTATCGCGGTATCTATCAGTGCTAGTAAAAATCCTTTATATTCACTATCCAGCGTTTTCTCATTCACTAGTCAAAATTGCCCGTTGAAATTTCCGGTAAGAGCCTAGGAACTGGCTAGTAACATTTACTGCTAAATTTATTTCAAGATTCTACCTCAGCATATTATGCCACAAATCATTACACCATCATTTATCATTCATTGTGGCGTAATTAATTATGGTTTCTTTTATTACAGCATAAAATACATCACACCTCCTTTTATCGCAACAATAGGAAACAATAGTAAACAATAGCAAACAATATTATCACGGAAATCAAAATATTGATTCTCCGCTTGGAAAAGTTGAAAGATACTCAAATGAATTAGCTCCTAGTGCCTCCATTTAATTGTGGTGGAAACGAAAATAGTGTAAACGATGTAATTAGTTATGTGATAAGTAATACTGAATGAATTGTTCCCATGATAAATAATGCTTCGATGAATAGTCCTAACAGCTGCTCGTAACGAGTAGAAACGATACCAGATCAATCACCTGTTAGCTGAATCAATTTTTTTACCATTTACTCCTTTGCTATTGAATTACTCCATGAAAATTTATGGAAAAGCAGGAAAATTCAGGCAATACCTCGGACAATACTAGAATTGAACTCTATTGAAATCTAAAATTCCAGTTTCTTATTTCCCGAAATTTTTTCAGCAATTGCTTTTGGTTGACGACTATATTGGAACAATTCCTATGAATTTCTCAAGCAATAAAAATGGTTTGACAATGTTTATTTGTCCGCATCTCCTGCCAACACTCAATGACCCACTGGGGGTCATCCTCTTCAGTGTTGGAGCGTAACAAGACCTCAACAACTTCTCATAACCGTTCAAGGAAGATTATTTGCGCAGTGAGCAGGAAGCAATCTGTTTCAATGTGACCGATAAGTAGCCCAACAATATCTCCCGTCGTTGCCTCATCCTCACGTCAATCTTAACGGTTTTATCCCACCGGACCCCCCAAAAAACTACTCATAACACTATTAGAAAGCTACTCTTCAAATTTCAAGTGTCACCAAACCACAAAAGTAGCAATTGAATTTAAAGTCAGCAACCAAGTGACAAAGTGAAATAAATCAAACCCGGTAATTTTCTTAATTTTTGATTGAACTCACATTACCACTTCGCTGTACACAAAAAAATTATTTCTATATATAGGAATATATTATTTTCTACGAGGAAGAGGTTTGACAGGAAACCGCCAATACAAGATGAGATATTCTAGCGAAAAGAGTGAATCGAAAAAAACAGAGAAATAAAATCAGTGAGATTTTCGGCCGGCGGTAATTTGACAAGCAGATTTATGACCCCCCATAGATTTAATGCTCGTGGAATTTTAGGGAGACGTTTGAGAAATAGTATTCGTACAATTCACGGAGTTCGACACAATAACACCGGAGGAACGCAAATACGTGGGCGGAAGTTGGAACTGGTGTCTTGGATCAGTCAAAATACCAGAGAGCGGAATGGAAAGGGAATTAATAAATAGTAAACATATGAAGTGCAGGATGATGGGACAAGTATATAAGGGTTTTTCCATGGACTCTCGCCCTTTTTCTCCTCGGATTTTTTTTTTTATTCCGTGGAGATGAACGCAGTCGTTACCTCGGGGCTTCCCACCAATCGCCTGTCCACCCCCACGTCTCTGCTATTTTTATTTCTCGATCAACTTCACTGTTTTTTATCGCCCTCGCTATTTTTGCTGGCACAATCCCCAGGGACTTCTTTGGATGGTGAAGGGCATGAGACACCTACTTCAGATCCTCGAGGATTAATTGACCACTCGGTCTCGGTGAGCGTTTGTTCTCGTCCTTTCTGATCCGTTTCGTTCATTCGTCAGTGATTTTGGATTAGCATATTCATTGGGCGATTTATATCGATAGGGATAGTTAATGTTGCGTTAAATTTATCGGGTTTTATCGGCTTCGCTGGGACAGAATTAATTTGTTACTATTTTTGATTATTTTCGCGTGATTTTTCAATGTACTAGCATTTCGGAGGCGCTTTGCGCACCTATATATAATCATCATATGGAGACATATACAAAATATATATGTATATTGTAATGGATATTTCTGTAGGAATACTCAATGTAGTTTTCGTGTAGGATTCTTAATTTTTCTAATGACAGTACATAATTAATACATTGGATTCAGCTAATAAAATTCAATAAAAAAAAAATTGAGCCAGATGATGCGGTGAAAAACGAAAACGCTTTTCATTGTGCCTACAATTTCCCCTGTATTTTTGAGGCTTTCAAGTTAAATATCAGTTTCCAAGAAATAATCCATGGAAAGTTTGATTTTAAATTAGATTATTCCTTTAAAGTTAATAAAAAATCCGCGAAATTGAAGGAAATTTAACAGTCAATTTTCATTTAATTCTCATTCATAAATGCTTGTGAATGAAATCGAACTCAGACTTATTTTCCACAAAACTCAGCAATTTAAAAAAATGATGCACAGCTCCTAAATTTGCCAATATGGAAATTTATCAATTAAATTGCGTCAGCAATATTAAAAAAAAATGTTAGGTATTACCAACTGTCGAGTTGCCCTGAAATCACCCAAGTGAACATCAACTTGATCGGCGAATTCTCCATTACATGTGATTTCACTAATAATCCTCCTTATCTCCCTTTCTTCATTAATTAACCGTACGCGTACCTCAACTAATTGCACTGCGTGTACACGTGTCGAGCATTAACCTGTTGAGACACGTAACAACCTTCCACCAATCTCCAATCTTCAATATTGTCCCTTCTCATTATGCTATTCACACAAAACCCGAAACGATAAATTAACTATAAAAATAGCAAGCGGAAGTCTCACTCTTGAGTGATTGCGGGGATTTTTCTCGGCTGGGGGGGAAAGTGAATGTTGGGCGCCACAATTTGCATTTTCGTTTGAGGCTGATAGCCTTCGTTGTCCTGACACGTGTTGCAGACGTCAGGCAAAATTCAGTCGAGTGCGTCCGGTAAATTCTATTTCAGACAAATCGCGATAAATTTTTATAAAATTTTAGTTCATTGCAACAGACAGAAAAAAATACCTATAACAAC